TGTCGCACGCTTCCAGCACCAGGTATGTCTCGCGCTACACTCACAACCTCGTTCCCCAACTCACAGATGCCACTAGCTCCCAAGGACCACCCTGCCCCTCACCCAGCTTACAGCAGCGCAGCTCGGCTATGGCTGCGTGCTCCTTCCCTGCTCGCCCGTGAGAGCGTAGGCGCCAGCCAGCAAATAGCGCAGCAGCACTTGCGCAGCATGCAGCCAGCACCCGAATGCGGAATGAGGAGGCAGGCCCTTCCCTATATCGAAGTGGCTTGCCTGCGTCCAGTCCCAGGAAGCTTCCAGTAGGCCCCGGTAGCCTGAGGCCCAGCACGACGAGAGCAGGCCCTGGGCCTGTAGTGGTTGCATGTGCCCCTATCCAGCCCAGGGCCTGCTTCACATTCATTCACACAGGCGGCCCAGGGCCTGGGTTCGCTCAACCAACTGGCGCTGTGCAACTGCCTGAATTTCCCTGAGTTGCGTAGTGGCCGAAAAAGGGCCCTGAGGGCCTCGTCGAGCCTGCCTTCACTTAGGGCGACTGACGGGCTGCAAAAATGGGGCCTTGTGGGGCTCATAGAGGCAATGGCCTCGCAAAGTCCTACTTGATTGAGAGGTCCGCTCCGATACCAAACTGTTACATACCGTAAAGGTGCAGACCAGAACAAGAACCGACCTCTCTCACAAAGTACAAGATAGCGTAGTGGAAGACTTAGATACCAATGATCTGAACAGTCAATGTTGCAATGCAGCCCCAAACATATATCAGCATCATTCCATGGTGTGAAGGGGCCTGGCGCTCACACAGGAAGAATGCGCCAGTCCCCAACCATACACAGACAAAGAAGAGGGGGGTTAGACGAAGAAGAGGTGAAGATGGAATTGTCGTCAACACCAAGTCTACGGCACAGGACCCAAATAGTCCCTCGTCAAATGTCTGAATCCCAATGTCGAGTCTGGATCCAATGTCGTAGTCCGCAGATACTGAGAAGTCGGGTAGCGAGAGGATGAAGAAGAGATGGTGGACTGAGAGAGGAAGAGAAGAACTCTCTCTCTCTCTCTGTCCGGTACTAACCTGTGAAGCTGGCGCCTTGATGCAGGTACCTCGAAGATGGAGCTGGATCTATGGTGCCACAGGTAAGTCTCACTGGCCTCCGCCAGCCATCTCTCTCCAACACTACTACTACTACTACTACTACTAGCGCCCTGCGCTGAAGACTACTCCTGC